GGCAGGGACTGTCAGGCAGATCTGTGTGTGATTGTGCAGTGACTGACTGACCTGTGTTTGGGGACCAGTCTTGATCCATCAGGGGCACGCGGCATCGCGGGAACGGATCCGCTTCTCACCTCTGCGAGCTTGGCCAGTCGCGAGATCTCTCGCTCAGTCCGTCCGTGTGGCTTGAGATCTCTTCCTTGAGCGCGAGATCTTGTCGAGTCGTCGCCTCTTGTCTGCTGATATCGTCTGATCACCATGGCGGACCGGGTGAGTTGTGCGTGTGTTCGGGACCGGGCGCCCGCATGTGCACCGCATGCCGTCGGCTGCCATGGGCAGACGGCATCGGTTTTGCTATGGATGTGTTTCGATGTGCCCATCTTGCGGCCAGTGGTGGTTTGGATGAGTGTGGTGTGGTGTGTCTGTGTCATCGTGTTTAGGAGGGCATGATGCCCCAGATTCTGAGCGAGGAGGCCTCCGAAGACAAGGGCGACACGGCACGGATGGCAAGCTGACAAACGAACAGAACACGCACCACACTCATCCATCGCATCTCATTGACCCGGCCCCTGGGTGCGTCTGTCTGTCTGTCTGTGTGTGTGGTCAGCAAACGTTTGTGGGGGCGTTGGCGATTGGCGACCTCATCAAGACTACACTCGGGCCAAAGGGAATGGTCAGCCACACGCACTCCGTGCGATGCGATGCGATGGGATGCGGGAGGCAGACAGACAGACGGACAGACAGACAGGGAGGGAGAGAGGGAGGGAGAACCAGACATCCAGGGCATCTTTTAGTTTAATTCTGTTGTGTGTGTGTGTGCGGCTCTCTGATATATTGTGTATTGCGTGTGGTGCAGGACAAGATCCTGACACCGCTGCCTGGAGAGGGATCGCACCTCAGCAAGACAACCATCACCAACGACGGTCAGCCAATCACACCACTGTGACACAAAATAACTGGATGGCTGGCTGGATGGATGGATGAGTGGATGTAGCGTAGCGTCCCTTATGTATGTGTTTGTCTGTGTGTCTGGTGGGTTAATTGAAATGTGTGTGTCAGGTGCGACGATCCTCAAGTTCATCTACGTCGACAACCCCGCGGCCAAAATACTCGTCGGTACGTAACCAAGCTGACTTAGACAGACAGACAGACAGACAGACAGGGAGGGAGGGAGGGAGGGGCCCCAGGTGCACTTATGCGGTCTGTCTGTGTGTGTGTGCGTTTAACAGACATTTCCAAGACTCAGGACACCATGTGCGGTGACGGCACGACGAGTGTGGTGGTCTTGGCGGCGGAGCTCCTCAGGGAAGCCGAACACCTCGTCAGCCAGCGAATACACCCACAGGTGACTGACTGCACACCTAGCCACACACGTCTCACCAACACACGCACATGCACGCGACTGGGCGAGGAGAGATCTCTGAAGAGCCTTCTGCACTGAATGTGTGTGTCGCCGTGTGTGTGTGCCTCACTCAGGTCATTTGCCAGGGGTTCCGCGAGGCCCTCGAGATCGCGCGAAAGAGTAAGCCAGAGAGGGAGGGAGGGGTGGGTATGTAAGTATCTACGTGTGTGTGTGTGCGGCGTGTGTGTGTGTGTGTGGAGTGCAGCGCTGGACACGATAGCGTTTGACCACTCGAGCGACACCGATGCCTTCCGCGAGGACCTGCTCAAGATCGCCAAGACCACACTCAGCTCCAAACTACTCACACACGAAAAGGTAAGACCAAGGAGCGAGGTCGGTCCGTCCACTGGCCCCCATCTGTCCAGCCGCCCCGCTGATGGGTGCGTCTGTGTGTGTGTGTGTGTGTGTGCGTCTGTGCGTCTGTCTGTCAGGAGCATTTCGCCAAGTTGGCCGTGGACGCGGTGCTGCGGCTCAAGGGCAGCGGCAATCTCGACCTTATCCAGGCAGAGAGAGAGAGAGAGTTCCCTCTCGCTCTCACTCTCATTCTCCCTCTCTCTGCTGTGTTGGATCTGTCTTGTTTGTGCTGTAAAGGTGTTGAAGAAGCCCGGCGGGACTTTGCACGACTCCTTCCTCGAAGAGGGCTTCATTCTGGAGAAGCGGATCGGTCAGCCAACCAACCACCATGGCAGACAGACAGGCAGACATACATAACGCCTTTCTGCTTTTGTTTACCCACACAATATGCACCGCACACACAGGTGTGGGTCAGCCGAAGCGCATGGAGGACTGCAAGGCACGCTGCACACACACCAGACACCCCGACAGACAGCCACAGACAGCCGAGCTTGATGGACGTGTGCGCGCCTATGATGGTGTGTTGTCTGTCTTGTGTGACGTGTGCAGATCATGGTGGCCAACACGCCGATGGACACGGACAAGATCAAGATCTACGGAGCGAGGGTCAAGGTCGAGAGCTTCGAAGCGGTCAGTCTCTCACTCACTGAGTCATCAGCCAGCCGACAACCCACCCAAGACCACACACACACACACACACAGAGAGAGGGGGGGG